TCTATATATATATAGATCTATCTATATATCTATATTTCTATCTATCTAGAATATAATGTAAACTAGTCTTTCCCATTGTAATCTGACCTCAGCTTAAAATAGAAAATAACCATTGGTAACAAATTACAGACACTTTTACAGTGGTAAAAGTGAACTGCAAGTCTCAGTTCCTGGATCCCAAAGATCCATGTCACTCCAGTTTTCAGTTTTTGGTTTTCTGAAGTCCTGAAAGTCCTTCGGTGTCTCCCTTTCACAGAATCAGTTTTGATAGAATATAGTACCCATATATGTAATCCCATTATCTCTACAGTTTTCTATAATTTTTTCTTTGCCTTATTCTTAATGTTCTAGAGATATCAATTTTGTGATATTATCTCATCCTAATAGATAACAAAAGAGAAATCTACTTACAGCCAATCAACATGACACAGATTGAAAAGATTTTCTCCGAATTGGTGTTAGGAGACACATTCCCGAATCCTACACTGGTTAAGCTGCTGAAGGTAAAATAAAGTGCTGTGACGTATTTGTCTTTAATGGATGGTCCAGAACTTGAGTCACTGTCATTGTAACGTTTCCCAATTTGTTGTCCTAAGGAATCCAACCATCCGATTTTGTCTGTCAAGTAGGGCCTTTCTACATTCCCAATTGCATACCAAATGCAAGCCAGCCAGTGAGCAATCAAGGCAAATATACACATTAAGAGCATTAGAACAGCAGCGCCATATTCTGAATAGCGATCAAGCTTCCGGGCCACTCTCACCAGACGAAGGAGTCGAGCTGTCTTCAAAAGACCAATTAATGTTGTTGTCTGTGGAAACAAATGTGTATGGTCAGAAACAGTTGGCAAACAACTCAGTGTATGTTCCTGTGAAGCAAAGTAGGTAGAAACAGGTCAAAACGAGGTGGTAGCATTGAAGATAAATGCATATTTGAATGAAGTATTAAGGTTAGTTTTTGTTTGTTTTAACTTTACGTCTGCTTTGGAAAATACTTTGAAAGTGTGTGGTACATTCATATCTTGGCATGCAAGACCCATGGGACAGACACTCCATCTGTCTAGCTTTATGCTCTAACCAAGTGCCTTGGAGATAACGAATAGTCAGTAAATCATTCATTCACCAAGAAACATCCCATGTGTTACTGGTGTGCCTAGCAAGTGCCTACACACTGGGATTATAGCGTTGAGCAAACAGACGTGATCACTTTTATAATAGAAAGATATTTATTTACTAGACAAAATGCTGTCTCTAGTGAGGAGAAATGAGGTCCACTGTCTCGAGGGGAGAAACAGATGTTTTTTAAAGAAACGAACAATAGGATTGTTTAAAGAGTAAAAAAATGTGACAACAATAGTAAGACAAAGTGGTATGATAGAGGGTATTTGAGGGCATGAGTCAGGATGGAGACTGCTTTGGAAAGAAAGGCCAAAGAAGAACTTGCTGAGGAACTGATACTAGAATTAAGAGAAACCTGCATAATGAGAAGAACCAGGCAAGCAGATAATTGGGAAACTTATTGGATGATTGCATGTATGCCTTAGACACTATATTTAAATTCATTTTTCCTTCCCAAATGTGTTAAATTGATAAACTGTTTCTTGAAGTCCCAATGATATTACGTATTTTTCTTTGGGGTGTGATATGTGTAATTAATTGTATGATTATTACTGACCAGGTATCTAATGATAGGACACTTCTATATAATAACAGGATACTTCACTGGTTGTTTGGATTTGAAATCTGATAAGTACAAATTACAAGTTCATTTCTTAGGTTTCCTAAATAATGTCAGCTATAAGTACTATATAATTCACAGGGCATATAATTATTCCATAGTTACATGGTGTTTACCAATCAATTATTGAGTCATTTTATGTGTTCATTGTTGGTGTTTATTTTGCAAAGTACATCCAACCGCATTAAGAATACTTATATTTTAATTAAAGAAATAGCACATTGCAGAACTATCACCCTCTATCCATATTGATTTGGTGGAAAAAAAGCACTAAATATTAAGAAAAATAGTTTCATCAGAATTCTATAATAAGTGTTGTAGTTTCTTTCTTTTTTCTTTTTCTTCAGAGTGGTCACTAAGAGGAGGGGAGATCCCTTGGTCTCCTCTAAATTCTTTTTAAGTTGTATTGGACCCTTCTAGAGGTGAGAGGAACTTGTGTAGTTGGGATGTGCTTATTACATTTGGGCTCTGGTCTTTGTTCATTATGGGATGTGTGAAGAAGTGAGTGTTCTCTGCTCCCAATGTTGAATTATTGTTTTTCAAGGTGGAATAAAGAAAATAGCATTTTTTTTCTTCACAAATGTAAGAGTATATCTCTTCTCAACAAATAAAGGGAGAGTCTAAGTTATTATTAAGTAGTTTTCTGGAAGAAAAAACTTTCCATCATTTGAATTATTAACATTTTAGATGATCAGTTTTTTTTCAAATTTCATTGGTTCTTTGTTTCAAGTTTTTGTTTAAACTCTATTTAGTTAGCATATAGTATAATATTGGTTTCAGGAGTAGAATTTAGTGATTCGTCACTTCAATGTAACACCCAGGGCTCATCACAAGTGTCCTCCTTAATACATCACCCATTTAGCCCATCCCACACCCACCTTGACTCCATCAACCCTCAGTTTGTTCCCTACAGTTAAGAGTCTCTTATGGTTTTGCCTCCTTCTGTCTCTTTTTTTTTACGTTCTTTCCCCTATGTTCATGGGTTTTGTTTCTTAAATTCCACATATAACTGAAATCATATGGTATTTGTCCTTCTCTGACTTACTTAGCATAATACACTCTAGCTCCATCCACATTGTTGCAAATTGCAAGACTTATTCTTTTGATGGCTGAGTAATATTCCATTGTATATATAATGGAATATATATATCTAAATCTATATCTAAATCTAAATCTATATCTATATCTATATCTATATCTATATCTATATCTATATCTATATCTTTACCCAGTCATAGTCAATACACATTTGGGCTCTTTTCCTAATTTGGCTATTGTTGATAATGCTGCTATAAACATCAGGGTGCATGTGCCTTTTTGAATCAGTATTTTTGTATCCTTTGGTATAAATACCTAGTAGTTCAATTTCTGGGTCGTAGGGTAATTCTATTTTTAAATTTTTGAAGAACCTCCATACTGTTTTCCAGAGTGGCTGTACCAGTTTGCATTCCTACCAACAGTGCAAGAGGGTTCCCCTTTCTCCACATCCTTGCCAGCATCTGCGATTTCCTGTGTTACTAATTTTAGCCATTCTGACAGGTGTGAGGCAGTATCTCTGAAGTTTTGATTTGTATTTCCCTAATGATGAGTGATGTAGAGCATCTTTTCATGTGTCTGTTTTAGCTGATCAGTTACATATTGGGACTTTGGAACAAACAAATGGATGTATGAATTCTGTATCCATACCCATCTATCATCTTGGAGAAGTTGTTTACTTCATCTCTAGACCTGAAATTTTTCATCTGTAAATGAGCATAATAATGCCTCCTCATATGTTTGTAGGTAATTCCCAGTAAATAGTAGCTTTTTGTTCTTATTTAAATATCTCATAAGCTTTAGTTTCTATCAGTAAGTGGGAACATTATATTGTAAAATGGATGGATACATACATTTTCCAAATGCATTACTTCGATATCTAGAATTCCAAATGGAAGCTTTTCCAACACTGGCCTTGGCATCCTTAGGAAAGGGTGGGAATTTTAAAGACAAAAACATCATCTACATGCACTGATTGCTTGGACTTTAGTAGCAGGAATCACTGGTTCAATGTGTCTCTTTCTACACTTCACAGCTTGTTTGTGTGTTTATATTTCCTCCATGCTCTGTTAGCTATTTACTTGTGTTGAGAAATCAGAAATATTGAAAATTATTGCTTAAAACTTCTTTTCTTTGGAAGAAAAATTTTCTCTCAACCTCAAAATAAGTGAAATATAATGAAAATTCTCTAAGGTATTTGGTTAATGAAGTGAAATGCTTCAAAACAAATGAGATGTTTTAATAACATCTTGTGATAATAAGTACTAATGACTCTTCTGGCTGCCAAGATAGTAAAGCAAAAATGATGTTATATAATCCATCTGCTGTGTAGGCCAGCTTCCTCCTTTTTCTCTCCCTTCAAAGAAACATCTGATGTTTATTCTAGGATTATATCAAAATAAGGCAAAACCTAAATGACAGTAAGTTCTCTAAGCAGATAAGTGAATATAATTTATATAATAACACACAAATGACATCTTTTCTGGACAAAAAAAAAAAGCTTAACAAATATGGTACATGATGAAGTCTCAAACCAACTGACATGATACTAAATGACTGCAAGGGTAGAGAGAGGGAGATGAGGAGAGAGGGAGGGAAGAAGAGAGAGAAAAGAAGAGGGAGAGAAAAGAGGGAGAAATTTCTAAGCAGTTGTTTTATCTTTCAGTTGCTTCTGAGGATGAAAGAAAATGGACTTCAACAGTCAAAGCCATTCTCTTGTGATTCCATAAGATGTACCCAAACATAACTACATATGTTGTTTGGCAATGTAACAAATGACTTGATCTTATTTGTATTGTTATCAAGATGCTGCTAACACACCTGGGCTTTCTTCCTTAGCTACTGTTGTGTGCAGCCTATCTTGTAGATAGATGACACGAGACTGCAATAACACTTTTCTTCTTCTTTAAATTTCTCTTTAAAGATTTAAAGGGGTTTTCCCATTTTACACAAAGGAAAAATGACTGCAGCAAAATCTCAGAGAGCAAAGACTAAAGAATGATCAGTTTCTTCTTGCTGATTTGTTGGTGACTATTTGTCCCTTTGTTTACTTCAATGTACTATCTCCGTCTTATGCACAAATGAAAAATGAGACCCACAACTGCCTTATAGCTGTGTTAACATCAGAACATGGCTGAGGGGAATGTTTTTGGCATACATGTTTCTCTGACCATATATCTAATTTCATGTAATACTCAGCCATACTATGTAAATTTATTTTGTGGTTTTTTTTTTCCAATTTTTTAAAATAGAAATAAATCCATCCTTACACTTATCGCAACAATTAAAAAAACAGTAGAAGTACAAAGAATCTTAGGTATTATTTTTTAACTTTCCACTGGTATCAGAAAAAATATTGTCTGCTTTTTGCTACTTTGGGTAGACTAACCAAGCATAAGAGCTCACAAGAGGTATGTGTGATTATGCACTACAAAGATATCATGACAATAAATAAGATGGAGAAAGAGGTGAGCGACTTGGTAGTAGATGGAAGCAAGGTACTTTGTTTTTTGGTCATGCCCATGAATTGCAGCAAAAGGGACATAATGAACTCTAATAAGTCATGTCTCCGCTTCATCAGTACCTATGCCACTTCAGAACTCCTTTCACTGTGATTGAATGGTGTTTCAAACTCTTTTTGCCTGAATGCCACAGTAAAGAAAGTGTACTTGTTTAAGACTTGTATTTTTAATGTATTTTGTCAGAACTTTTAAAATGTAAAATGATTTTTTCCCCTGGAATTTCAAATTATTGACATTTTTGGGTGGCTGAAGCATATCATCCAATTTAAAATTTTTAAAGACCTACCCACATCCATAGTTTATTAAAGCCCTGGATACTTTCTTATACTGAGGTAGAAGTTACTCTCCGTTATTACGGATGACTTTCTTAATGAAACTTTATTTAAAAATATATCCTCTAAGCAATTGAAATTTTGTAAACACGTTAGATACCAGACCCAGACTCAAGATATTTTCAAATGGTTCAGGCAATAATCTCTCTCAGTGTAAGTGGGATTCATTTTAAAGACCTGAAATT